TGGGGAATTCTGGGAGTTGAAGTCCACCCATCTTAAAGTTCCTGAGGTTGAGAAATGCTAGCTTAAAGTACAGGGAGTCCCCAGTTTAAGACCGAGTTCCATTCCCAAGGTCTGTCCTTAAGTCGAATTTGTATGTAAGTCAAAGCAGTATGATTGTATAGTACTGTATAAGTAGTATTGTCATGAACTTGAACCATTGTGTATTTAACTTGAATTCTGCTACAGTAGGCTCCGTTTTTAACTATGGGCCGTCCTTAAACCGGGCATTCTTAAACCTGGGGACTATTATAGCAATTTCCTTGTGGAGTGACCTTGGTTTAAATGCTCAACATATTTTTTCCAGCTTATGCTGCAGGGAAATTATGGGGCCGAAGGTAACAGGAGACCCGTTTGGTTCCAGATGTTCAGATTTTCTGAGTTGGGGTTTGTTTCTCCAAGGTCTAGGCCCAGAGGGGTTCCAGGGGTACACTAAAGTCAGAGATAGAACTGCCAATCTTGAAGCAATGTTTCTTCAGCTCTGTGTCTAAAGACAGCCCAGGTTAAGAGCACACGGCAGATATGGAGTTCTAGAGAAGGATTCCATTGGGACACCAACTCCCATGGTTCTCAGCAGCAGAGGCAAACAGTTGGCTGTTGGACTGGAGATGCCAGTGTTAGCACCCAGCACATCTGGACAGGAGTCATGTTGGGGAAAGGGGAGAAACCCAGCAGCCTGGTTCTCCTGCCAATGTTTACATGACTGCAGATTCTGATAATCTTTTAGCAAGTTACGCAAGCTTGATAATCCTTAAGCGAGTCCATATAGGAGGGGTCAAAAAAATCAGGATGCAACCACACGATCAAAGCCCCACCCCTTTTCACATGTGTAAAAGAGACACCACCTTGACTTTTTTGACCTCCCCTGTGAATACTCCTGAAGTCACAGGGCGGCATATCGGGGACAAAGAAGTCAGCACGGAGAGGAGGTCACTTGTGGAAGGGATGAGGGCCAGGGCCACACAGCTGTCTTCTGCTCCGCACATTTGGTGGTGGGGCTGAGAGAAGCTGCTTCGTGGAAGGGAGAGGAGCTAACGTGGTAGGTCGGTAGGACTGTGGCACTGGCACATTCTGACCTCCTCGTGTCCTTTGTCCTGCATTTTAAGATGGGAAAGGTTCAGAGAAGGGCAGCAAGACAGACCAGGAGCCCAGAAGCTGTAATGGGAGGAACCGGGCAGGATCAGCTGGAGGAGATAAATGGGATAGGAAGGCCTTTTCCCAGTGTTGGACAGGAGGCCATGCAGAAGATGGCCAAGAGCTGTTCTCGTGTTCCCAAGTGCAGATCTCTGAACAATGGGTTTAAGCTACAGGAGGGCAGATCCTGATGGAATTTTAGAAAGAACTTCAAGGTGGGACTGAAGACCCAGGGAGGGGTGGGCTCCTCTTCATTGGCTTCTACAGTTGCTGGACAGCCATCTGTCTAGAATATTTGAACTTGGATTCCTGCACTGAGCAGGTGGCTGGACTTCACAGCCTCAAGACTCCCTTCCAGTGCTATCCTGGCCTGGTTCCTTCCTTCATCATTTCTCTCAGTCCCACCTTGAAAGGTTCAGGGAAGTCCAGTCCAAACTTCCAATGAGCGAAAAGAGCTTTTTTAGTTTTCCTGGCCTTGGACTATTCTTGAAGAAGGGGAGACAGTGATCTGGACGCATGTCCACAGGCCAGATACACGTCTGGTCTTTGGAGGAGTTCCAGGGGTTGTTTGCATGCCCAGGGGCAGGGGGGTTTCACCAAAGTGCTTTTGGACCCATTCTCAGATTCTTGGAGAGGCTATTGGCAAAGGGCTTGTGTTCTGGAGCTGCACTCAAGTTTCATTTTCTTTAATGCCCCACATGTTGTTCTAGTTTTGACACACCTTCAGTTGTTTGTGCCCAGAAGCATCTCTGGAAAAAATGGGACCTCTTTGTTTGCAGGACTTTCTAACTTGCAGCCAGAACAACCCTGTCCTGAAAAGTGCTCCCCTGTCCTCTCCTGCTTCCCCTTCTCCTGCTGTCCACTCTTCTGCTCTCTACTCTTTCCATTCTCCTGCTTTCCACTCTTGGCCTTTTGCAGGAACCCCCAAGAGCTGAGGGTCTCTTTCTCTGCTTGCTTTCTGCATCAGCAAGCACGTTTGGCACCTGGTACATAGCATGGAGTGTTTAAATGGCCCCACCTCTGAGCTCCTGTTATGCAGCCGCCCATCCCAGGTCCTCCAGACCATTCCTCAGTCCACTTCTGCCTGAATTCTGTGAAGCGTGGCGTTTGTCAAGGCTTGCACCAGTTACATCAGTCATTGGTGTGATTTTGCTTGGAGGCTTTTCTCTCTGGGGATGTGGAGTAGCTGACACCTGCCACGTGAAATGCTGGTATTCCAAGCTGAGGGGTCAGAAAAGGGCTCCCGGTATCCTGGATCATGCTGGCTTGAAGCGGTGTGGCATTATTGTCCGTGCTCCTGAATGCCACCCATCTGGAGAAAGGTGCTTTGATTAGGGAGGTGGCATTCACACAAGCCACTCAGTTTGTGAAAGATCTAGCAGCTGCATTCCCACGACATGCTGAGCTTGGCTAGGGTTAACCTTAGTTAGGTTTTTCTGCAGCGTAGCATGGTCTCCAACCCATACCGTTTGGTTCATTTACGGGTTAAGCGTGTTGTGTGAACGCAGCTTATGCACATGAACTATCCAGGCTCTGTCTTCCCTTCCGTGCTTTAAGTTGGTCACCTGCCCTGCAATTCCCACAACTCCTCGCCCTCGGCTTCCTTCTCTGCCACGGATAGTCCGATCTCCAGGTCGGCTCTTCCTGCCTTGGATAGGAGAGCCGTTTGCAGGCCCCAAGAAGATGCTTGGAAAGCAGGATTGGAAAGTCCCTGTGACAGGAAGGTCCGAGCAAGGAGTGTGCACGGGCAGTGCCCCCCAAGAATCCAAAACCACTCCCTAAAGGATTAGGTCTCATGTACAGCAAAGGATCCCAGTCGTGAGATCCCTGCTGGTGCTCTCTGCATTCCATTCCCACCTTGGAAAGCTGACCACAATTTTCCCCTAACGGATTTGCCAAAGCTGCCATGGTTGAGGATGCACCAGGACACAAAATGTCACTGGAAGGAGATTGTGTGTCCAGCATAGGCTTCACCCGAAACCCAGGTTGACAGAACCCCATGGCTGCATTTACATGCCTCATGGCCCCAAAGCCAATAGCCCCTTGATGTGTATCTGCCAGGAGGCAGCAGCCTTGCTCACCCAAAGTCTCCACCACACGTGGTCTGCTGCACTTGCAAGCCCTGCGTGGAGCCAGGAGGAGGGGCATGGAGCCAAGCCGAATCCAACACCCAGGAAGGGGGCATGGTTGGCTGCTGGCAAGGGCTCCGTTCCTGTGGGTTTTATCCACCTGGAAGGCCTCTTCGTCCTTCTTGGGCTGTGATGCTCATCCTGCCCAGAGTCGTTCCGGGACTGCCTGCAACAGAGGCTCTTGTTCTCTGCCAGAGCACGAGCCCTGACTTGATTCTTCCTTTGGCTGGGTTTGCCCAGTTCACTGAACCGGATTAGTTAAACCTGCTGCGGCTGTTTTCAGACCACACACTAATCTTGGTTTACTTGCGCCTTAGAGTGTTGTGTAGACCAGCCCGTTGGCTTAGTTCATGGCTCAGCGGCCGTGTTCACCCGACCCACTCGCCTGATTCCAGAATTAACTCATTTCCAGGGCTCACTTGCTCAGCTGAACCCTAACTCTCAGAACAAGCGGGGTTGGCCCCGGGCAGTGCGTCTCAAGAACTCTAACCGAGCTTAATACTAACCATGCTTAGCATGCCGGGCACATGCAACTGCAAGGTTTTGACTTGACCGGGTTAAACAGGTGGTATGAACTCAGCCAATTATGTGGCAAACCCAGAGAGCCAATTAATCTACAGCAAGGTTCTTCAACCTTGGCCACTTTAAGACGGGTGGACTTCAACTCCCAGAATTCCTTGCTGGTTGGGGAATTCTGGGAGTTGAAGTCCACCCATCTTAAAGTTGCCAAGGTTGAGGAACCCTGATCTACAGACTGCATGGAAATGCGTTTGGTGCAAGAGAGGCAGGGGACGCAGTCGAGGCCTTGAGCGAAGGGATGTGGGGAGGCGTCTTTTCCCTGGCTGGGAT